GAGATGGGAAGGGGGAGTTAAGGTTTAGGGTGGTGAGGAGGGGGGAGTTGGAAGGTGGAGAGGTGAAGTCGAGGATGGTGGATGCGGAAGTTCAGACTGGGGATGCGGAAGTTCAGACTGGGGATGGAGATGGGGATGGTGATGGTGCAAGGGTGGGGGTGGATGATGGGGCTCAGGCGGAGGAAGACTGGGTGACGTCGTTCGAGAACTTGCGCGCTTGGGCTGAGGGGAATGGTGATGCTGATGATATTGCTGATTGGGAGATGGTGGAGGAGTGGCCTCTTGGGCCGCCGCCGGTTGACGAATTCGGCTTCGAGCTTACGAACGTGAGCGGGAGCCGACATTGGCTTTGGGATGTGGATTAGACGGAACCGGAGATACCAGCTAGAGCGGTATAAACGTGTACGTGAAAAGGTTATCGTATTAGACGCCTAGGTACGGTTTAATATCTCTAGAAGACGCTGAGCCGGAGAAAGTGAAATTTAAATGTTGTGTCACAACTCACTCGCAAATCCACATGTACCTAGGTACCTAGGTAGCCAGGAAGTTAACCAAATGGAAGGTGGCAATGCCGAGATTCTTGCAGGCAAGCCTTGCTAAATGTCCTTCGTTCCTTCCTTGTACATCGCGGAAGGGCAAATTTCTGGCCGGATTTCCATGTGACTTGTTCCTGGACAAAAGCACAATCAGCCCTAACCCTGTCAAGCATATATTGCCGACGCGAACCCAAAACACCATACCGATCGAACCGACAGGCGCACCCAACCCTCTACTTTGCTCCTTTTGGGGTCCCAAGGAGTCACACTGTTCGTCACAATGGGCAGCTCAAACGAAGAATACAAAGTTGGCGAGATAAAATATCCTACAGGGTTCGGTTTGAAGGATATTGCTGGCTGGGGCTCAACCGGCCTCATGGTACTCGACAAGGCTTCGGGTACGGTGGTAAGGACGGCGCACAATAATCATGAGCTTGTCGACAGAGAATGGCCCGTCGATGAACGCTTTACTGAGCGCGCCCGCGGCGGTCACCCCAATAGTAAGGACTGTCCGACTGGTATGCCAGCGCAGCTTTTCCGGACTTTACAGGTCTAGGCCTTGTTGGTTTGGTCATTACTAAATGCTGGCAAAGAAAATACGCAACGTGCGGAGAAGTTCAGCAGCATTTGAAACGATGTCGGGAACTAGAAGCTACACTTTCTCCCGTTTCAACAGTTCCCATCCCGCCCAGCCCATACAAACGGCCTGAATTAGCCCCTGACGTCCATATGTCGACGGCAGTCCAAAACAAAGCTCTCCCATCTTCACTCCCTATCAGGTAGTTCTTGGTTCAGTTAGTCGTCTTGGCGATCTATGAAGGGTAGGTATGTGGTGGGACACTCACGAGAAAACCATACCCTCCACGGAGGAGGGCTATTGGGGGGTAAGGGGGGTTCTTGGCCAGCCCGGGAGCCTTGTGCACCAGCTGCATTGCCGGGCGGGGAAGCACTAAGGTAGGTACTTGTCGACTCACGTTGTCAGATTCGCGGTTGGCGCGGTTACCTGGTACGGGTCTTGGAAACCCGAGTTGCGGGATGAGTCAACGTGTGGTGGATGTTGCGATCCATTTGCCTTGCCTAAGGTAGGTGGTTACCTAGGTAGGTACCTAGGGAACACATCAAGGGCTAATACGGCTTGTGATCTGGATGTCGGGCTTGGGCAACGTAAATGGCAAAACTGTTGGGGTCGGTGGCTAAAGACTGAGGACATGTCTAAAGCGGAAGATATGACTGTGCCAGCGACGAGGATAAGTCCATGAGAGCTTCCAATGTATATGTACTAAGTTTGCTCGCGGCGCACTTAGGCGATCACGGCCATATTGGGAGACCAAGCCACAATGCACCCAACTGGGACTCGAAGATGTATTTGGGCACTTGCCACTACCACTGGTATTCCTGGATGTTACTCAAGCCAATGGCCGTCTGAACAGGCTCGAATTTGCAGCAATAAGCTTCAAGCTTGGCGGGTGGTTACACAGCAAAGTCCTACGCTACGGAGGCTTCATTGCGAAACTGGGCGAAAACCCAAATTCCATCATTCGGTTCACGCCCGGGCAATTTTAGCCAGCTAGCATATTTGCATTTCCCCATCCAGTAAATACATTCTGCAACAAAGCGAGTTTTTTTTCAGCCACCGCCACTTCTTCTGTCACGGGGCGAGGTCAGGGGAGTCGCGGGACAGGGTCAGGTTCTGGCTAATGACTGAGTTGTGCGATGAGGAGAGAGGAAGCTCTCGCAAGGGGACGCTAACGGAGAGGAGATCCTGCTGCTAGTGTGGGTCCAGGTCGCGTGGGCACGTGCTGCCCACGTGACCCAAGCAGGTCAGGCTTGGTGCCGTGACAGTACTCCCCCTCTCAAAGACGGTTTGGTCCCCAAACCACTATCCTAATATATTAAACATCAAAATGTACCTTCTTCCTAGGCCTTCCGCGGGGTCGCTTGTCCTTTACCCAGTTAGGCGGCCCGGGCTTCTCTGGGTATTTGTCATGGAAGAGTTTCAGAACGTCCTTGCAGCCTTTCAAGTCTTGCTCGGGTTGCCATGTAGGCTCATCGTAGTGCTTCCATTTAACAAGGTAGGTAAGTCCGGATGTCTCCTTGTCCTCGTCGTGTACGTCTAGGATCTTCTCGAATTGCCACTCGTCTTGGATAATCCCATCGTCGTCCCGTTTAGCAATCCTTCCTTTGACGTTACGCCGCTCCGCCGCGTTGAGCTCGTCTTGTCCTTGAATGGAGGGGGCCTCGTATAAGCGAACTTTGGAGGTATGGAAGCTCTTATCGACCTTGATGTTGTCCGGGAGGTCCACGACGACGGCGCCCTTATACACCTTCAGCACAGGGAACGGTCCGTCCCATTTGTCGTCCCATTTCTTCTTCGGCCGGTTCGTTGCCATGTGTTCAAGGCTGACCATGACTTGGTCACCTGGGCGGAATGTTGGTGCTTCGTCCCTACGGGCGTTGGCGTTGTCCTCGTACCGTTGCTGGGATTGTCTGGTTAAGGCCGTCAATTGAGTCAGGATTCGCTCGAAACGCAATGCGACAGCGTCTGCACGGAGGTACTCCTTCTTCATATGGTCGGAGAGGTTAGGCGGCCGCGGCTGCGGTGGCTCAACCCCTAGTCGGGGGTTAAAACCGTAGTTGGCGAAGAACGGAGAGATGCCGGTTGTCTCGTTGACCTGGTTATTCATTGAAAATTCTGCTAGCGGTAGCCAGTCTACCCAGTCGTCTTGGGTGAAGCTGACAAAGGCTCGGAGGAATTTATGCACGCTTGCGTTGACGATCTCCGTTTGGCCGTCGGTTTCTGGATGGAAGGCTGAGCTCGGGTGTAGTGTTGTCTTCAGGCGTGCACTGAGTCGTTGCCATACCCCGGAGACAAATGCGGAGCCCCTGTCGGAGATGATCGAGTCCGGTGCGCCGTGGAGCTTAAAGACGTGATGCAAGAAGCTGTCTACAACTTCGTCGGTGTCTAGCCCTGTTACCGGGATAAGGTGTCGCATCTTGGTTAGTCTGTCCACTACTACAAGGATGTGCCTGTAGGTTTTGCCGTTCCTGGTGCACTCGGGTAGGTCGACGATGTGGTCCATAGATATGTCCGCCCACGCTCGGAGGGGGACTTCCAACGGTTTTAGGAAACCGGGTGGTGCGGACCGGGGTGTCTTCGTCCTGAAACATAGCGCGCATCCTTTGACAAAATCTGCCGCGAAGCGGGAAAGGCCGGGCCACCAGTAACTCCGGTTGAGCAAGTCGATAGTCTTGACGCGGCCAGGGTGGCCGGCTGGGCCAGAAGAGTGCGTTCGGTGGGCGACTGCGAGCCGCAGGCCTGTGTGATCCGGGACGAAGAGGCGGCCTCTGAAGTAGATTAAGCCGTCGATAATCTTGCACTCGGATTTATCACAGCGGAGGGCTCGGCGTAGAGCTTTTGGCCATCGTCGTGCACCGGGTGTTTGCAAGGCGGTTACCATCGCCTGAGCAGTGCTGTCGTTGTCGTAGCCCTCACGGATCAGGTCGATCAAGGCAATGTTATCGGGCTCAGCGGTCAGTGTTGCTACGAGGTCGGAGTCGTTGTTTTCTCGGGCGTCGTCGAGCAGCTGCTCGAGTATGGTCGGGTGTACTTTCTCTGCTGGTAAAACAGTCCTTTTTCGATACTGAAGTCGTTCATCATCCATTCCAGCGGGTTGGGAGCCGGGGAGCCTGCTCAAGGCGTCAGGTAATGTAGCTTTTGATCCAGGCCGGTACGTGATCTGGAAGTTGAATTGGGACAGGAATTCTGCCCAACGGACTTGGCGTTGGTTCAGTTGTTTCGTGGTCATGAAGGTCTGTAGGTTCTTGTGGTCTGTGTAGATTTCGAAAGATTCCCTCGTTCCATAGAGCTCCGGGCGCCATTCCTCCAGGGCCTTGACAATCGCAAGAAGTTCCTTGTCGTAAATCTCGTAATTGCATTCGGCGGAGCTATGCTTCGCGGAGAAGAACGCGACCGGCCTCAGTTTACCGTTATCATCGTACTGTGAGAGCACACCGCCGGACGCCCAGTTGGAGGCGTCGGTCTCGACAACGGTGCGTTTGGAGTAGTCGAAGTAGGCGAGAATTGGGGCTTTTGTGAAGGCGTTCTTGAGTTCCTCGAAGGACTGGCGTTGATCGGATGTCCAGGACCAAGCGGTTTCCTTTCTCAAGAGCCGGGTCAGAGGTTCGATGATTCCCGAGTATCCCTGGATGAACCGGCGGTAGAAGTTTGCAAAACCGAGAAATTGTTGAAGTTCTTTGACAGACGTGGGGTCTTGCCAGTCTACGATGGCTTTGACCTTCTCGGGGTCCATGCTGAGGCCGCTTGTGGAGATGATCAGGCCGAGGTATTTAGTCTTCTGGGTGTAGAATTCCGACTTGCCGATATCTATCTGGAGGCCGGCCTCACCCAGTCTCCGAATAACTTCGTTGACATGGGTTGTGTGTTCCTTCCGGGTCCGACTATATACCAGGACGTCATCCAGATAAGCTGTGCAGTAAACATCCAGTGCGTCATGGAGAAGGTGGTTGATGTAATTCTGGAATGTGGCAGGCGCATTGCAAAGTCCGAAGGGGGTGACCAGGCTCTCGTAAAGGCCGAAACGGGTGATGAAGGCCGTCATCCACTCGTGTCCTTGGGCGACACGCACGCGGTTGAACGCTGCTATAACGTCCAGTTTGGTGTAGAACTTGGCGTTGCAGAGAGAGTCGAGGGTTTCCCGGATGAGTGGCAACGGGTATCTGTTCTTGATGGTGACCGCGTTGAGTCCGCGGTAGTCCTGGCAAATCCGGATCCCACCTCCGGGCTTGGCGGCGAGCAGGAGTGGCGCCGCTGCAGGTGAGGAAGACGCTCTAATCCAGCCCTTGGCTAAATTCTCATCAATCCATTTCTTGATGCAACGGAGTTCCTCAGGGGAGAACGGGCGGTTTTTAGAGTACGGGGCCTGCTTTCCTGGCACGAGTTCAATCTTGTGGTCCCAGTGCCGGTGTGGTGGTAGTGTCTCTGCGTTCTTTGGCAGGAAATGCTCCACATGGTGGTGAAACTCCGCCGGTAGGCGGCTCTTGATATCTTCGGCTGTTGGCCGGGGCTTCTCCGCTAGGAACTTGTCGATATCGGACGGCATTATTTTACGCCGTAGTGTTTCAGTGCGGGCTGTCTCGTCGAGGTTTGTCTGTAGGAAGTCGTGGAAGTACGGGTCGAACACCCGTTTGGCATCTTCTAACGTGTAGTCCCCGGTCATGATCCGCCTGAAAGAGGTTTCTTTGAGTTGAGGGATCTCAACAAAGCCCCGTGGAAGCTCTTGTAACATGTCAAGGTTCTCCTCGTCCTCGACGAGCTGACGGAGCTCGGCGAGAGTTGTGGTTGTGGCGAAGGAGCCTTCTTGCTTACAAAATTGCAAAAAGTTCATTGCCTGGACGCATCGGATGTCGTTTGTGTCGAGCTTCATGTTTCTAGGGCGTCCTGCTGTCTTCAGAATGGGTGTGGGTCGTCGGCGTTGCGTTGGGCGCCTACTGCCTGCACTGAGGACGACGGGTGAGGGTGAAACGTTCCGTTTTGCAGGCCCAGCTGGCTTTGGCGTTACTTGTATAAGGAGTTCGTCTCCGTCGGGGTGGGCACGTTTCGTAGTGAACTCTTCGTCTGGCACGTCCTCGACAGTGGTCTTTCTGTAGGAGGTCGTGGGGGTCGGGGGAGGTGTTCTCCTTGGCTGGTCCTCAGTGGTGGCTTTGCGGCATGGCAATATAGGTTTCGTGAAGCGCTCGGGTGGTTCTGCGCGTGGGGCCTCGCAGCCGCCGGCGGGGAGGTCCCATGGTAGGCAGTGATGTCGACAGTGAGGTGAGTTAAATACCAGGCGCATCTCTGTCCAGAAGCATGTCGGGTTGTGGAGTTTCAGCCACGGGATGCCGAGGATGATCGGGTTAGTTTTGCCTAAGTTGGTGACATAAACAGGCATGGTTTCGGTGTGGTTGCCGATGTGGACTCGAGTGGTGAAGTATTCTGAGACGGTAGATTTCGTAGTGCCGTCGGCTAACCTAAGGGACCTCGGGCGCAGGAGGCGTTTCGTGACTAAGTTGAACTTTTTCACGACTTCTTGGTCATCGGCGAAGGCGAGTACGGTGGAACCAGAGTCAATCAGGCTTGTGGTTTCAAAGAAAGTGCTAGGGAAGCGTGTGCGCGGGTCGGAGAGAAAAGTTTTGACAAGAAGGGAATCTGCATTGCTCTTTATTGATCGCAGCGCGAGTGGTCTTCTGTCTAGGAGTACGGCCCTAGTAAAACAATCCTCCTCCTCATATGGAATTGGCCCCTGGTTGCGACTTAATCCAGGGGCGGGCCTTTTAACTGGTGTCCTTGAGCGTCAGGTGCAGTGTAGGTGCTTGATATGTCATCTCCAGTGACGCTGGTGTTCTCGGAGCTCGTCTCGCCGATGATGTGCCCCGTGGGGAGGGCACGAAGTTGTGGCGTCAAGAACTGGGGCTGCTGGAACTGCGTCTGGGGCATCCATTGCCAACTCCCCTGTTGCTGGGTCTGGCCTTGGGGTTGGGTTCGGCTGGCTTGTGTGTTGTATCCACCGCGACCGCGGCCGCGGCCGCGGGCGTGGGTGCTTTGGAAAGTGCTGCGGGTGTTGGCTTGGCGTCGGGGCATCGGGACGGGATCGACTGGTCGGTGGTGGTCTCGTGCGAAGTGTCCTGGTTCGCCGCACGCCAGGCAGAGGTCGTTGTCCGTGCGGCGCCTGCGTTCAGCGTCGGAGATGCGGATGCGGTCGAGTTCCATGGGGTCGCCTGCATCAACAGCTGGGGCTACTCGGTCTTGTGCGTGTGCTTCAAGGTGCGGTTTGGCTATATTTCGTAGCTTGGTGATGTGTTCTTTCTGCTGCAGGTTTCGGGCAATGTTATCGGTAACGTTGGTCCAGCCGGCGTAGTCGTCGGCGGCCGGCAGGGTGATCTGGTTATCGATGACAGCGGTGAAGGCACCGTTCAACCGTTTGCGTAGCATGTCGACTTTCGAGCGGCTGTCGAGCCTGGCTTTGTCGGCGTAGTGGTCGAAGTCGGCCTTGAAGTCGCCGTAGGCTCTGTTTCCCTGGTAGAGCGTGTCCAGCATGTTTTTCGCAGATTGGGTGCTGTCGAGCAGCATGTAGCGTTTGTCTAGCGCTTCCCACAGCGCAGCTGGGTTCTGCCAAGTCCACAATTGTGAGTTCTTCGGGTTGGCGTTCATTGTCTGGACGCCGTCCTGGACGGCATCCCAGGCCTTGCCGCCCAGCAAACTTGTGATGAACGTAAGGATGTCGAGTGCCTTCGGGAAACACTCGGCGTCGACGACTAGAATTTGTTCCACTTGGGTCTTCCACCGCTCATAGGCGCTTTGGCGTTTGGCTGTGTCCTGCTGGCCCGCGGTGAATTTGTCAGGGTTTGTTGTGGTGCGTCGGGCCTTCGGGGTGGTCCCGAAATGAATTGGAGGTCCGTTTGCCGTCGTCGCTTGGGCTAGGCGGGTTTGGAGTTCGGTTTTCTCGTCTTGGAGGGTTGAGATGCGTTCATTGTGCTGCGTGACGCAGCTGTTCAGGCGGGTAATTTCTGCGTTCAGGCCCGTGATCTTGGCACGGGTCTCCAGGAGCTCTTCTGTCTGGGTGGCAATAACCTGGTCGGAATCTGAGATACGCCTTGTGGCGCGAATGAGGTCGGCTTCGTATTCTTCGACGCGTTTCGTTAGTTCGGACTGGATTTGGTCACGGTGGAGGGTGGTTTCTTTCGCGTTTCGTTCGAGGCAGTCGAAGATTGCCACGAACCTGGCCTTGTCGGGACCGTCCTGGGCAATGGCGGATTGGATGAATGGGCCGGGGCTAGCGTCCGTTGGAAAGGTCTCGGAAAGAATGGCTGTGGTTAGGAGGGGCCAGTGTTGTAGGAGCGCTTTGCGAAGCTGCTCACGCTCGATGGACTCGTCGCTCATTGTGGGAGATTTTGCATGGATGGTCTTGGTGCCGGGTCGCGGAAGTCGGCTTGTTAACAGGGCATGTAGCTGGTTCTGGCTGGTTCTGGCTCTGGTTCTGGCTGGGTCTGGTGTTGGCTAGTGGCCGCGACGGGGCACAATGTTAGATCGCACAAACTGTCACGGGGCGAGGTCAGGGGAGTCGCGGGACAGGGTCAGGTTCTGGCTAATGACTGAGTTGTGCGATGAGGAGAGAGGAAGCTCTCGCAAGGGGACGCTAACGGAGAGGAGATCCTGCTGCTAGTGTGGGTCCAGGTCGCGTGGGCACGTGCTGCCCACGTGACCCAAGCAGGTCAGGCTTGGTGCCGTGACATCTTCTCCCTTACGCGCTTCCGAGCTCAATCACACCCACCGCGATGAGGCTGGCAATGGAAAGACAACGGGCGACAAGAGTTCTACCTGTAAGCGTGGGCAAGTTCTCAAAGGCCATGGACGCAGCACTACCAGGCAAGCACACGCGCCATCTCTATGACAAGCTGAAGCGAAGGGAGGGCTGCGTATTGGCGCAGCTCCGAACCGGAATGGCGAGACTGAACGGTTTTTTGAGCAGGATTGGGGCGGTCGAGTCAGACCTTTGTGCCTGTGGACAAGCGAGGGAATCAGTGGAACACTTTCTTTTCCGATGCGTGAGATGGACAGCTCTGAGGGAAGACATGCTGCAATGCACAGTGGCAAGACGAGGAAGCCTCTCGTTCTATCTGGGAGGGAAAGCGCCATCAGATACAAGGCATTGGTCACCAGATATGAAGGCAGTCCGGGCGACGATCAAATACGCAATGGCAACAGGAAGGCTGGAGCTGAATGAGGAGGAGAGTCTAGACCAGTCACAGTAGAAGAAGCCGACACTCAACACCACGAGCCTCAACCACGAGCCTTAACCAGCAGGTCCCGCTTTAGCTGCTGAAGATAGGACGCTGAACACTTGGAGAAAGTAGCCTCCAAGTTGATCTGCTAACAACAACCAAGGCAAGAGGTAAATGGTGCAGCGAGAAAGAGGGAAGAAGTAGGGGGCTTGTACGAGTTAAAGGCAAACCGATTTGATCCGGATGTAGTTAGCGTGCTAAGGCCCTATAGGCCCAGTGCCTCCGGGCGAAATAAATTCCATCCATCCATTCAATCACACCCGTTCAAGCCCGCTTCCAAATTCCAAGCGCGCTCGTCTCTACTTACATCCCCTCCACCAACGTTTCCACGCATTATTCCAGTCGTGCCAACCTCCTAAAGCAACTTTGGTTTTTCACAATCATGGCTTTTGAGCTCAGTTCGTCCACCTGGTAGTCGAAGCCGCTGGAGCTGACGGAGCGCGCCTACGACAGCGGCACCACCGAGGGACAGAGGCTCTGTCACAGAGCAGACGCCACGAGCGAAACTCGACAACCAGACCCGTGCTGTGGCAATCGCCACTTACATTTTTGAGAAGAGCACCTTCAAGAATCTAAAACGCTAACAATGCACCAGCGCTCATTGTAACGGGCTGTGCCCGAGGTCTTTGAGCTCTGACGTAGGTTGGGTCCGTTGTTGGTGAGGTGGTTCCTTCCACTCTCGGAGGCGGGCGTTCAAAGTACGACGAGACACATTGATATCGTAGTCATTGGCGAGCAGGGCGCAAATCTCGTCTACACCAACGTTACTTTGAAAGGCCGTGAGAATGACATCGCGGATAGGAGAGAGTTCCTTCCGTGGGCGCCCCATGGCGTTGGGCTAAGATGATCGGAGGGAGAGGAAAGGGATTTGTGTGAAGGTGCAAAGACTTGATCGAGTGTGGTTGGGCAAAATTCGGTCTAATAGTCCCTCATTTTGCGCAGCTAGGCACGTTCCCGTTCATTGACGCAGATTCCCGTTCGGTGAGGTGCGTTTCAATTAAAATGCAGAGAAAAGCGCTCAGGTAGGTCGACCTACAATATACACCGGCCCGCGCGAATTGTAAGTTTGACCGGCCCGAATGTGGCAATACCGGAGTACACCAGATGGGTTTATTTCTGACTAGTCAAAGATTTGAAATCGAGTCAAGTCCCATTATCCTTTCCCATGTGACCGGATTTCCGCAGCCATTTTCGGCTGCAAATTAATAAATTGGTCATGTCTTATTTTGCAAACCGACTGGCTCGCACTGTGTCAGCGCCAGAACTGGATCTGTAGTCCGCGCTCAGAATCTGCTTCAGTGCGTTGGGGGTGAAACCGGTTCTGCAAGCGACTGTAGCAGGGCTGCGGACCCCATGGAAATCGGTGCCATCAGTTCCAACACAATCACTCCTGTACCGGGTAGGGAGTACCTCGCCGACGCCGATGTGGAGCCTATCTTTGGCAGGAAAAGGGATTAGAAGAAAGTTGCAACCCTCGAGGACAAGTCTTCTTTGGAGGGGGGGAATGTGACGGCGCTTGCCGTCGGAGTGCATGTGGCAGCACCGGTCACTGAGTGCACGCACCACCTGCTCTTGCATTTCGCCTCTGCACCGCGAGAGCTCTTCCAGCTTCTCCTCCTTTCTCCCCATCTTACAATTAGCAGAATTGAGTCATGGCCATGAAACTTCGGGTTTCTGATTGGGAGGTGCGATCGACAAATACAAGACCAATGAATTGTTAGTATCCAAGAAACCAGCTTGCCATAAGCGCAGCGAGAAACGCACCACCGGGCTTGAACGGGTGTCATTGGGCTCGGAAGCGCGCGAGAGAGACCGGGGTAGGTGAAGATGGTGGTTTGTGGAATAAAAAGTGGGAGTTGTAGCAAAGCGATTGCAAAGTGGGGATATGGAATTGGTGGGTGAGGCTGAAATCTGACGGGCGGGGTGGATCTATTGAAAATCTGGGTTTTCGCCCAGTTTCGCAATGAAGCCTCCGTACTACGCCCAAAAACCTTCCAGTGAAGGATTCGCGCTGAAGGATGCGCCATGCAAGGTTGCGTCAGATGAAGATCAAGGCTGACCAGATCGCCACCAGCCGGCTACTTAGACAACGAGACCGCGTCGCGGCCGCAACGCTTGAGATGTTCGTGACCACTTCCCGTCAGATGTTTGGAATATCGGGTTATTACCTGTCTCACGACTCACTAGGCTCCTTGGTATTCAGGAGACCCCTTTATCTACTAATTTGATGCATAGAGCCCTTCATGTTGGCTTCGTCCATGATGCGGCCAGGCCTCTTGTCAAACCTCATTGCCTGCGATGGACTGGGCAAATATATCTCCCTGAGCGACACCGTGGCCCGTGATCAATGCTGCTACCTCAACGAACAGAACTCCACGGCGTGTAGGAGGATATTCGCACCAACAACCGGCTTATTCGACAGCGCCTGCCTCGGAAGCCCTGAAACATGCCGTCTCTACGACCGCTGCCGGTCAGCTGAGAGTCTCTACACATCAGCTGAGCAGAACAACCAAGTGGGAAACGGCTCGCTACTCCTCGCCCGGTACAAAGCCTGTGCCAATCTTCCCATCATCGCCTCCTTCTCCTCACAAGGCCTACTCAACTCCACAATCGAACAAGTAGTGCAGAAGCACTTGCGGTACGGGCCCAACGAAAGCGAGTTTGAGGCCAGCCAAGAGGAAATCACCCTCGCGGTGACCGACTGCTTATCGGCAACCTGCAGCAGTGCGCGGGACAACAGCGACTGCTACAGCACCGCCTGCTCGCCAGTGAAACTGATTACCAACAACACAATCCCGAATATCTGGGGAATCAACGAATGTCTCAACAATGTTTGCAATGCCGACACGGGCGCGTTGCCCTGGGCTGATGCGGATATCGTGGGTGTTGGGGTGAGTTGAGCCGTCACTTACACGCCTGAATCGTAGGACTTGAAAACGTTAACATGCCCCCCCAGGTCTTCTCATCCTACGTGATGCAATGCGCGCTGGTCGCCATCCTCTGGGCCGGCCTCGCCCTCTTCTCCTGGCACCACGCCCGCAAAGCACGCCAACCCGACAAACCCTCCCCAAAACCCGACCGACTGCTCCCCTCCCAAGAATCACCCGACCACCACCCCTCCACCACCCCCCAACCCGAAATCAACCGCCACTTCACCGCCTGGCTCGACCTCCTCCTCGAATGCCACAAAGCGCAATGCTACTTCGGCGGCACGCTCATGATCGCGGCCATCGCATCCAACCTCTCCACCGCCGACTTCGTGACCACCTTCCTGGTAACCCCGCTCGCCACCAACAGCATCCTCCCCATCATCTTCAGCTACCTGCTCCTCGTCTACCACCGCGCCTCCTCCCCGGCCATCACCCTGCTCACCACCACCGTCTACGCCCTCGCCTCCGCCGTCTACTGGACGCTGTACATGCGCCTCCAACTCCCGCCGGGCATGACGCGCGGGGATATGTACAAGCGGTATAGGCTGAACATCTCGGCGGTGGCGCAGTGTGGGGAGTATTCCGGGCTGGCGGTGTGTCCGGTGGTGGATACGGAGTCGGGGGAGTTTGCGGAGGGGATCGCGGCAAGGACGGCGCTGCGCGTGCTGACGCCGCTGTTGTGGACGTGGTCGACGTTTGTGTTGGTGGTGGTGTTGCTGTGGCCGGTGGGGGCGCGGCTGCTGCGGGCGCGGCGGCGAGCGGGGTTGGAGAAGGGGCCTGGTTTGGGTTCCGGGAGTGGGGGGATGTTGCCGTGGCAGCGGGCGGGGTTTTGGTTCGCGACGTTGGTGTTTTTGGCCGGGGTCGGGATGCAGATCTCGGTGCTGGCGACGGCGATTAGGTTGGATATGGTGGATGCGCGGGGCTGGAGCTTTGGGCAGGTGGTGGCGGTGACGGTGTGGATTCCGCCGCTTTTGGAGTATGTGTGCGGGGAGATTAATTGGTGAAAGGGGGGCGCGTGTGTTGGTGCGAGGCTTGTATTCCAAGGTTATATCATGTTGTGGCTCGAATCGAAGGGCGCCGCGTGTGGGCCGGCGCACATGTGTACATGTAACCAAAATAGGATGGTGTTTCGACGTCGACGAAGGAACGAATCACGGTTCCACAGCCGCACGCGGGGGGCTTGTGGGTGCCGACGATTACGAATCAATATATTCGTGCATCATGCAGAGTAACTGCCTCGCAAAGCGCTGTCCCGATGTGCGACATCCAAGTCCGAACTTGTGCGAGCCGCTTAGAAACGGTACATGTATTGCACTTTGGGGGCAGAGTACGACCCCTATGTCCAGCGGAAAGAGCCATCGGTGGCTGAGGAAAAGTTTAGAATATCATGCGAGAAGGCCCAGCCTGCTCACCGGTGTGATTTTATGTATCGGTAGTCCCCCCATGCAACCTCACGGCCGCACCGGGGCGCCAGAGCGTTGTGATAGCATGTGCAAAGCCATGGGCCTTTCCTCCTTGTCCTCGGAGTTCCACATTTCCTCGGCGCTCCCACTCTCCGAGGCGTCGTTATACTCGGACACCTCGCCGTCCGCATCAGTCGAAGTCCCCGAAGAGTCCCCCGCAGACTGCTTCTGTAACAAGTCCATCCACTCGTCAGACGATGTTCTCTGACAATCCATGATATTCAGCAGCAACGCATCCCCTCGGGATACTATGTAACGGCTCGGCAGGGGTTGGGGCATAGCCGGGTTCGTGTTCGCGACGCCGTTGTTTGGACCTCCAATAGATAAATCCTGCGGGGTCCAGAGTGGCATAGTCTCCATGTCCGTGTTGGACAGCGAATTTGCCGGGCCATCGACCGCAGAACTAAACTCGCCCTCTGTTCCCGGTCGAGTTGCTGGGATTTGGTGCGTCGAGAACGGGAACAACTTGGGCACCGAGCGAGCCGGACGCCTGGCCAGTAACCAGAACGGCTTCTGGTCGGGCTCTGTTGGTTCCCTTACTCCTAGGACTATCAGTTTGGCTGTCAATGGAGATTAGGGGTTAGAGAAGAGAACTCACCAAGAAACCTCTCATCAATGAGGCTCGTCATGTCGGGCAAATAATCAGTGTGCTGAACCTGCTCGTCGTTTACCCATGGAGGAGTGTGTGGTGTGAGGTGTATGGCGTCACGGTTCTTTTCGCTATTTATAGGTTTTGCGGGTTCATACATTTTGAAGGGAACTGGGTGATATCAGCCTTGTTCAGGAGTCGGTTCAGATACGCTGGGACGTAGCGTTCTTGGAATCTGTGAGCCTCGGTATAAGCCTGGGAGTGATGGAGGCTCAACGTGAAATTGTAGGTAAGTAAGGTAGGTACCTATCTAACTAACTACCAAAACGGGACTTACATAATTATTCCCCGTCAGCCGCGAGTGCCGATCGGAAGCTCATACACACCGTGTGATTGGGCTTTGTGGCTTGACTGACACTTGATTTGGTCTTGTTTCGTAATCAACAAGGCCGCGCAGTCATTGAACCGCAGTGTGATCTTTGGCGGGCACGAGGACAGGGCTTACATGCATCAGGGCCTAAGGAAAGGTGTGCCCGGCTACAGTGGCCAGGTCATTTAGGATGGAAAGAAAGACATTAAGATGGCCCACCACCACATACCCACTCTTGGAGCCTCGCCCACAGCATATGTGTAACCTACGCCGTAATGACAGGTTCGGATTTCTGTTGTTGTTCAGTCATGCTTCTACCAATTATTACTCCTCTAATCCTTCTCGCCCAAGCTCAGGATGCCAAGCAAACAACTCCCTGACCTGTAAGAAGTTCTGAGGGTTTCTGGTAAGCTCTTGAGTGGGCTGTGAAATGGTAAGCTCCCGCGAGCTAAAAGGCCGCTGCAGCTGTGTAGGTATTGAAACCTTAAAGCCACCCCCTCCTTCAGCTAATGTACATACCTCGGTATCCCACACCTCACTCGAATTCACGCCCACCAATGGGGTTGCGATTGGCCCCTCTGCAGACTGTAGGGCTTGAAGACAACACTCTAGCAACAGATAGCAGGCGTGGTAGCCCAAAAATACTTTAGATCACCCGCAGCTTGCCGTGCAGATCCCGCGACCGCAGTGTTACTTTTACCTACCAGCACCCCCTGAGCAGACTTGAGCCGCATGCACGTCATCGGTTGGGCACCCAGGCCGATACCCAGCTCCTTAGGTAGTGATGTTTGCTGTGGGGCACACCAGGCCGATTTTGAGCGGTTAACGAGTTGATAGAAATAAACTCGAGAGAAAAAGCCGAATTCAAAAAAGGTGGGATACATGTGCCGATCTTAGAAGTTGAAAGCTGGCTGCTGAAATTACCTACCTACGCATACGCCCAAGCACCGAACGCCAAGCCCAAACCGTGCCTATCCTCATAGGTCTGAAAGAACGAGAGAACGGCTTCTGTAGATGCATATTAAGCCGGAAGTCCACGTGCCAGAAGTGGCATCGCGTCACCCGGGACAAGTCGGGTGCCATCAGCGGGGCCAGTGCCGCTGAAGTTTGCGGCGGTGGAAGGACACGGCAGCAGACGACTGACCACGCGACCCACGCCGCGGCCCTTGATGCCTTTGTTGGCAAAGTTGTGCACCTCGACAATGTACCTCGCTATGTTCCTTTCTTCCTCCGATATCATGCTTGCGTCCTCGATGGCAACAAGCCTCTCGTGCAACGCGTCAAGGGCAAGGGTATGGCACCTGTTTTGGTGATACTGCGCCACGAGAGTAGAGTTAGTTAATCATACTCTTAATGAGTCGGGTGAGTCCCGGCCGGCCGTGAAAAAGGGGATTCCCAGCCGGGCGGACATTTACCTTGAGGTTGCCTTTCGATGAGAACGATCTCTTACAATCTAGTAACTTGCAAATCCAACGCGCTCTTAGTTCCTTCGTCTCGTGGGTTTTCAAGTGCGCACTGATATTCGACTTTTGACAGAAGGTCATTGGGCATTGCGGGCACTTGTAAGGTTTGTCTCCGAGATGACGGCGTACCGTGGCATTGGGACCCGCGTGTTGTTTCCACTAGGCTGGTGGTTGACAACGGGAAAACATATCAAACCCCAATGTCTGACTACCGTGGACGAGCGGAAGGAATACTGCACCGACCGGAACACTGAGCTTATCCCTCTTCTGCCAAGTAGATGACCGTATTGGTGAAGAGCGTGGTCTGTCCTGCACGGTTCTTGCCACATGTGCGTTTGTCCTCGGGTAGCCTCAGACCCGACCACGATAGAACAAGACCGCATTCTCCAGAGGGTCTTGAACGATCTCGGAGGGAAACTCCGAGGAAGTGTCGAAGAAAGCGGACAGTCGGGGGTGGCCAGATGCGTCGAAGCGGAATAATACCACGGTTGTGGGAGATGGGATTTGTATTGCTATCATGGAAGAGTTGCGCCATCGTCTTGAGTGTTGTAGAGCTACGGACGTGACCGGAGCGTTACCAAGGCAAAGACAGCTATGGCCATAATCGGAACCACGGTGTTTTGGATCGCTCTTGACGTGACATGAACCGTAGTAAGAGAGCGGGCTGCCGCTACAGCCTGCTCGAGAAGCTCCGGAGCAACGTTGCTACCGACGCGAAGGTCTAACGCGCCATTTGCCGTGGTACGCATTATGAGCGATTGCGAAGAATTGCCGTCGGAGACGGGGGGGAGTTAGGCATGTACCTTTTGGGAGGTGGTTGGAGTGTGTGACGTCTCATGTCAAAAACGCGATGATATCGTCGACAGGCACGAAAAGGGCTAATCACGTAACCCACCTCTAGAAGAGCTAGGCTCACGGTTGCGGGTTAACAAAAAGCAAGGTTTCCTACAAGGCGCATCCATCCTTTTTTGCTTTGTCGCCGGAGCCCCGAAGCGAGCAGAAAAGGCAGTGAGGCGCCCTTATGCGGACTCTGAAGTGAGGAATCTGCCTCCCGCTTCGCCTCGCAGGGCGGTGGCGTCGATCTAACCAGTCCCGATGCGGCTCATCGTTTCACAGCATCTGCTTTGCTTGCTTAGCGTGTGCCCCAGCCTCCGTCGGGCCGGCATTGGCCCAACAGACGATTGGGCGCGAGATGGCACGGAATTTTCCTGACAACACAACATGAAACAACTTGATTCTCCATCACCTTCCATTTTAGAGCACGGCGTCTCCGGCCCTCATTATGTCATTTGGCTTTTCAGTCGGGGATTTTCTAGCAGCGATTGAACTTGTTCACGGACTTGCGGTCGCTCTGAGCGATGGCCGTGGATCAAGTGCCAAGTTCCAGGGCTTGGTCCAGGAGCTCTACTCTGTCGAGCGAGCCATGATCGAAATTAAAAACCTCCAAGTGCCGCCAGAGTTGGAACCGAGGCTCTGGATGATCCAGCAAGCGACATCTCACTGCCAAACGGCCATCAGCGATTTCCTTCGGAAAAACGACATTTATATGCGGTGCCTTCGTGAAGGAGGTTCGAAAACCTGGTGGAAAGATGCATTTTACAAGGTCAAATGGGCTGTCTACAAAGTAAAGGATGTAGATGAGCTGAGAGCCTCGCTTCGTGGACACGCAACGGCGATGGGCCTCATGCTTCAACTGCTACAGATGCAAGTTCTCTTTCCCCCAAAAGATCGTAAGGGATTAGGAGTCTTTATATGGGGCATTACTAATAGACAGGAAAGTGAATCCAGTGAAATCGCAATAACCCGAATAGAAAGTCAGGTTCAATCCCAGGCATTATCAAACCGGTCGTCTCACGAGCAGCTTGTTTTGAATCTCAAGACCAACCTGATACAGGAGATTACCAAAGCAACGTCTGAGTAGGGATCTTAACACTCCTCTCCTTTTGTAACCATTTATTTACTAACAAACTATACTGTAGGGCAACCACAAACCAGACGCAAAGCAACTCTGATTTGCGGTTGCTTATGGTTCAAATGCTGTAAGACTTGGTGAGAAATGGAAAGGTTTATTCTATGACATTGCCAACACAATCACAGCCAGGCGACGATGGAGATCCACCAGATGATGTCCCAAGCGCAGACAGAGATCCCAGCGCAGGTGCTTCGGCAACAGCCGGTCTACCTGGAAGACGCCCGGGGCGTTTTGGCTCCCTTTCACCTCGAATTTGTCACCAGTGCCGAGGTCAGCTCCACCGTTGCGTTCTCGCGTGAGGGCATCGCTAATGAAGCCCAGATTCTGATTTATGCGCTTAAAAACCGATATAGCGAGAGCGGCGCCCGGAAGGTTGACCTGGGCAAATTTGCCATCACAGACGAGAAAACCTCTCGCGACATAGACCTCAGGCGTGAGTGGAAACTGTGCTTCCGACCGGGCCAACGCGTCAACATGAGCTTGTTCTTTGAGAACACCTTCACCAACACGACTACTTGCCCGAGCTGTCACACGGAATGCGCGGGGGATCAGGATAGGGAGATTGAGTGGTAAGTCTGATGTTCGGTTGTCCGGGAAGCACTCCGATGGTTGACTCTGAACTGGTAAAGTGGAAACTGCACCATGATATTCCGGAGGATCGAGATGATCCAGCCCCAAAACACAGGCCCATCAGACCGCGATGACCAAGCTCGCAACGGCGGTTCAAATATAACGGACCGATCCGAAGACACCAGGCATGATCCGGCTCAAGTTTCCGATGTCACTGATTCTCCATCACAAGACGAAGAGCCCTTGGATGACGCGATATCCGAGTATAAACGGGTCAGACTGCTAGATTATGGTAGAGTTCGCTGGGACACCTCAACATGTGCTCAGGAATTACGCATCAACAAAACAGGATTAGGGGTAACCTTTCCTGGTCCTCAAACGTCCGCCGACCATACCACGCTTGCGTTCGTTAAGACGACGCCCTGGAGAGAAGAGAACACAGTACACTCTCTGAGGTACTCTGACTTGACCGGCGAACGATTTTGTGAGTTTACGGCCTGGAGTGAAAATCTGGGCTACCTAATCAAGTAGGTAAGCTTGCTAATAGTATTCCAGGCGACTTCGAAATCAGCCAAAAACATGACCCGTCTTCTCTATCCCCTAGGGTGGGATTCAGGGACGGGGCAAGCGTGGTGGCAAACTTCGGTGCTAGACCCTTTTCGGTGATAACGGAGGTGAGGCCCCCGAGGTAGCTTATAGTCTCTTCCTCGGTATGCTGACCTTAGTAAGGTCGAACTTTGGGTTTGCTGCAATTGCTACTGGACATCTCCCTGGCTGTCCAGTAACATAGTGTGTATTAATTGCGATCATGGGCTTGGTCACGGACATTGCACGACAATGATAACTACCGGGAGGCTGGATGGACGTGTTGGAAACCAACAATCACGACTTAGCGGTGCAAGGCGGGTATCCACGAGCTGGGACATATTCGCTCACAGCAGCGAGGGGTCTCTCTTCGGCTTACGACCTTAAGCGGCTTATTTGTTGAAGCCGTTCCTTCCTCTACGCCGTAGAGTGACTGCTCTCGAAGGCAAGAGCGGTTGGGTACTGTTGGAAACGACACTCAGACGGAAAAATTGGAGAGAAAAGGATTTATTGATTTCTGGCTCTTCCTCTCAGAGTTCTTCAGAGCAACTGGTTTTTATCCTAAATCTTTCCTTTGTATCCTTGAGTTAACCCGAGTCTTTGTGCTGCCAAAATTCCATGAATCCGTTTCCGGTACCTTGTCCGTTTCCGGATGTCATGACCGTTTCCGGTGCCATGGCTGTTTCCGGTGCCATGGCTGTTTCCGGTGCCATGACCTTCCAACACAAGTATCAGCAAGAAGGTTTCATGTGGCGAATCCAACAGGTACCAGCTCGAGGGAAGGAGCGGGCTGTGGATCGAACCGATTAGGTGCCCTAAGCCGGCAACGTACCGTCAACCTCCCGCTCACTCGCCTGGAGCTGCTCTTTTTGCTCGAGCCGGGATAAATTCGCTCAAAGCGTAAGCCGTCAAGGTTTTTCAATATCAGCATGCGGCGGTAATGGATTCCACGGTTATCTCACAGATGATGGGAGCTTACAACAGTCAGATTGGGATGCTCGTAGCAGCCCAGAAGTCATCAATTGAGGTTTTCCTTGTTTCTGTCTGTCCTTCCCCTCATCTTGTGTAAAATTACCAGGAGCGGGAGAGAGGACAATCAGGGTTAGGGTTGATTACGGGAGAGACGAAGCGCCAATATCTGTCCGTTGGCCAACAACTCCATCTACTTGAGCCATCTACGAATCGTTTCTATTCTGTCACTCACGTTACGTCTCTACACTCACGTCGACGGTACCAAAAGGGACGTGTGCCTTTGACGACACCAGCAAAGCGAGAGATCCGGTTGAGGATAGACTGGGCTTCCGGTTTGTCTGGGTCGGAAAGCGCCTCCTGGAGGGCTTCCTTCGTAAGAGGTGTGCGATGATTCTTGCTGACGTAGAATCGACTGTGACCCCTCGCCTGCTGCCTCATCAGAGTGTTTAGCGCGATGAATCGGAAGCTGTGATGTTTAGCGAATCGGCCATCTTCCCACTTCATGGCATGCTGGATGTAACCCTAAGAACCAACGCTCCTTGCAACGAAGGCATCGCTGCATCGTCTCTGCAGCAAGTGCTTCGTCCAACTCTCTCTTAGCTACAATGTCTTCGGCCAAAAGTGGCGTCTCCTGGTCGTCGCCTGTGAATCGGGGACCGGGCTCGTCGAATTTACGCGGAGGATTTTCTTCCGGCGGGGGGGGGGTTGGTTGCGTGGGCGACCGACAGGATTGCGTTCTAGCCGAGGGCGTCCATAACGGCGTCCGCGAGACCGGGTCAAAGACGCAGACGGAGGGGAACGGCGCTTGGGAGGGCGTCCGCGGCGGGGAAGCTGTGGTGGTGTGTGCTGCAAAGCATCCGCATCGCCTTCCGAACCCTCTTCGTCAGGCGCTGACACGGAGAGCAAACTGTCTTCGCTGGTCGCAGGCGCCTCATCCTCAGCATTGCGCAATTGGTGTCGTCGGATCAAGCTACTTAGTGGCGGGGTTTGCGAAGGTTGCTCACCATCACCATGGCGTCGTTCCGCGCGATGGCGACGCTGGATCGCAGCACGTTGGTCCCGAGCGGTCGCCATATCTGGAGTATCTGTTGCAACTCGGCCACCTTTGGGAAACATGCTAGCAAGGACGCCGTGCGTGAGGTTCTGGCGAGGTGCGGGCACGAGAGGTCGTAGTGCAGGCATTGGAGCAGGCGCAGAGCTTTCCCGGCCGATTACCTGCAATGATGCAATGCTGGCTCGGGATATGGTATGCTGCGACGGTTTAGGTCTTTTTCGGTGCGACATCGAGGACACATCTTGCGCGCCACCGATGCGGCGCTGTTGTCCATGATAACTGTCAACAGCGCCCATAGCGGAAGTAAAAGTGTCAAGCGACAATCGGCAAACACTCCGTATGCGGGAAAGTCAATTGACACGCACGTGATTAGGCACGGCTCCAGGCTTGAAGCTTCTGACCAATTGCCGATGGAGGATAAGGCAGGCTCAGACCCGCAATTAACTTATCACTTTCCCATAACTAGTAATTTCCCATAGTAATTTCCAAAAGTTTGAGCGCAATATTGTCCTCCGGACAGGAATATTGTCCTCCGGACAGGATAAGACTTGGTATCACAGGTCGTTTTGAGCCGGTGACGGTCATCCGTCACTCGGCTGACGCACGGGCCCCCTACGTTGCGCCCCACCCATTGGAAGGTCCCGCATGCTGCGGCGCCCTGTCGGGGCTGGCTGAGGTGACCACAGTCGCGTGCCTGGTTGGTGGTTGGTCCCATTTCTTTTCGAACCGCAGAATGCGTGCGGCCCTTCAACCTGCCCCCCATTGGGTAGACGTCGGCGCCGAGAGGTCCGCCAATGTTCTGTAACCGCCCGAATTAATTAACTACACCTAACTAACCATCTACCTAAACAGTTAACTAGTTATGGATTCGGATCTTACTTATACGGCCCGCCTGCGCGAGGTGGTCGAGCGATGTCTTCTCGAGTCCCAGCAGCAGACGCCGGAAAACACGAGACGAGCGTACGCTCCCAAGCAGTGTTGAACAACGTGGTTATGCATGGTTTGTGTAAGGTTGCTTGCATTAATCAGAGCTTCCAGATGGTGGGAGGCTCTGTTTCTATATACAGAGAGAGAGATGGGGCTGCAGGGCTCCCTGTTAGCCACCAGGCCCCCTGACAGCCACCATCATGACTTGTGACCTCTGTATCCATTTCAGCAAGCAGAAAGAGTGGAAGGTACAAAAAGAGATGAAGGACTATTCCGTTTGCCGGCGCCTCCTGCTGACCGGCGGCTACACGTAGATCTGGTGTCGGAGCAGGGGCTTCGCGTCTATTCCCGAAGGCTGGCCGGCAACCCACGTGCCCGGACGACCCCTGCCGGAAGACCTTGTCGATGAGGGCAAACTGCTGCTCTTCATGGCCGACGAGGTGGTTTCCCGTGCGCCTCGGACCGGCTCCCGGGTCGCCCAGGAGCGGAGGAAACGTCGCGAAACCGAACAAGCCGGTGGGATCGCCAAACGGAAGAAATTGCAGGGCCATGGCAAGGACGAGGTCGCCGAGTGGTCAGAAGACTGTATAGTGGTTCACACCGTACCTGCGGACGCCGACGACGCAGATTCCGGGGACGTGGAAAGCTCTTTCGAATCATCGCTCAAGCTTCAGTATAACACGGTTCGGAGCTACGTCTCCGCCATCCAGAAGCTCTACGACGTCCAGAGGACTCGCGGAATAAATCCGGCGCCCCGGCCGCAAAGCGTGGCGTTAAAGGCCATGCAGAAATCGATCCTCCGGACGACTTGGGCTCGCAAGCGTTCGGAATACGCGGACCGCGGCGAAAACACGATCAAGGACTCGTATACGCCGTCTCAGATTCCGGTCCACACGTCCGCCGTATGGAACGAGTCCAAGCAGATCGCCTGCGCCCTGCGAACGCAGGTGTATTTTCTTCTCGGCAACCATATGCTTCTTCGTTCGAGCAATCGGCGGCCGCTCGAGCTCCCAGATTGCTTTTGTCTGGAACTCCCCAACGAGGGCGTCAAGAATAAGGATAACATCACTCGGGCATTTGTCGTCGTGATGAATCAGGGAAAAACTAATCAGCACGGTCGTCTGGAATATGGCGCCTGTTTGAGACATCGCGATCCGTTGGCCTGCCTCGTGGGCGCCCTAGGTTTCTGGCTCTTTTACCGCTGGCACGTGGAGAAGGAGTCGTTCCCGAGCTTTTCGCGACGAAAAGACTGGTACGACCTGAAGATCCTTCGGCGCTCGATCAACGAGCCCAAAGGTAAGAAAGAATTGGCCGCCCGTTTTCCGCACCAGACACCTAGCATCGAAGCGCTGACGAGACTTAGATGTGTTGACCCCCCAGACTGCGAACGACTGGACTCGGCGTTTCTATGAGAAAAGCGGAATTAAGACGACTAAGGCGAGTCATGCCCCGCGAGTCGCGAGCTCTCAGAACGCGGACATCGCCGGTGTCCACGAAGGCCAGATCCGCCGCGCGGGCCGTTGGAATAACGGAGACCAGATGACGGGCTGCTATCTGACCTCTCTGCCCCTGGAGTTTATGCGGGCTGTCGCCGACTTTGACCCTGAATGGTCGGGGTCTTATTTCATTGCCAGGAGCACCGCCAAGCCTCCCGGCCGTCTTCTCGCCCGGGTCTTCCCTGGGTTAGATTACTGGAAGGAACAGCACGACGCTCCGGAAAGTAGTCCATTCGCCGCCACCGTTCAGCAAGACAAGGCTGCGGGCGCTTTCCTTGAGCTTCTCGCCTGGCTCCGGGAGGTGGTCCTCCAAGATGCTGCCTTCCTGAAGCCTCTGTTCCCGAATCATCCCATCTTCCGGGACCCTCTCTTCCAGGATCCGGAATTCGAACAATACGCAGCCCGGGTCCGTGATATCTGCAGCCAGGCTCACGAGGATAGCCACCAAACGGCCATCGAGAAGACAATCCCGTCGGTGGCGGAGAAGTTGCGCTCCATCTCGACCCAGCAGGTCGCCCAGAATGCGCTAAACCAACGGCGACACGAGGAAACGGTTCAGGCCCTCCGGAAGCTAGAAAGGAAACTAGACCTGCTGGCGAACACCAGATATACGGTTACTATAAGCCCCGAAGGTAAACATCTGGAACAGAGGGTGGAGTTGCCACGCGGCAGGCGCGTACACCGGAGACGGCGAGAGTCGTCGCTGTCTCCCTGCTCCCCGCCTCCCCATGCCTCTTCGCTTGCCTCCACCACTGCCGCCGCCTCCTCTTCTAATACCGAGCATCTTCTTCGGACCGGGAACGAGAAGCCGGTTGGACAGCATATTCCTACAGTGTCTCCGTCGAAAGCTCCAGGCGTCGCAGTTGTCGGTCCGGAGGATGACGAATCGCCGCCCCGTTTTCGATTCCCACAGTCCGTCAGGACGGTAATGGAACTCTGGCGTCTCTGGAGACACGGACTACCTCCAATGCCGTCCATTCAAAGTCTCGAAGAGCGTTGGGGTGCTCGGTGGCGAGCAAGAGGCGACCGACAATACTTCTCCATCCGTCGTAGGATTTTCGACGAGATTGTACGTCGCTCGCAAGCCCGAGACCAGCCGGAGGAGGTCTCGGCGCGAGAGATGGATATAGAGAGGGGGAAGATCTCTTTGGATAAGTTCTCCAAAGCTCTGAGGGCGCAACGGGGCCAGGGCACCGGTTGAACGGGATGCCGCTCTTCAAAGTTGGCGTTGGGGGTGGAAGGTAGGCGGGCGACCTACGCGTTAGCCATAGTTAAAAGCTAGCTACAGAGTTAAGCACATAACAACTAACGACGTCCAACTCACTGGTTACCTAGACTTGGTGTTGCTGATGTTCTAATGTTCTTTCTGACTGAGTGTTCTCAGCCCCCGCTGTATTTACAGTAGCTCTACAGGGACATTACACAGGGCGCACAGGGCGCACAGAGCGCACAGGGCCGGGCGTAGAGGGCGTACAGGGGGCAGAGAGGGTAGCTGAAGCTTACAAATTCAATTCCGTTCGTGGCCACATCACTCCCGTGGACAAAAAAATATGCGTTAAGATTGCCCGATTGAGATCTATCTAACAAAACTACCTGCACGAGATTTGATAAAGGCGCGACGGTGTTCTGTGGGAATATCATCTCGGGCCCCGGTTTTTTCGGTGATATCAAGGGCTGGGCCGTCATCTGCGCTGTCATCGGATGACGCCCCACCAAAAAAAGACCTTCAATATCCACTTGATATCTACACTTTTGTATGCTTTCCGCATCAGACAGAAACACATGACGTACCACCTAGGCACCACGTGTTTGGTCTTGCAATAAGCTTAGGTGCCTGTCAAGGAAAACCAAACGAACTTGCTGAACTAGCGTCGTAGTAAGGGGCAATGCTAGCGTAGGAAGTCCCAGAATACAACTTCCAACAGGTCAACCATTCGCTTTGACCCGCCATCGCCGCTATCAATCACGAGACAGTGTAGGTGAATAGGATCCTGAGTTCTGAGCTTCTCTACTTAAAACGACTTCTCTTCATTTTGAGACATCCGGTGGAAGATTTTGCCTTTTCCAGATGCCTGGTGCGGCACGTGGTGGTTCAAACGTCATCGACGTCATATGAGAGGCGATTCCGGAACTCCAGGAGGGGGACAACGCCGCCCCCAGCGAAAGAAAGTGAAGACGAGAAGGGCGATAGAGTCAAAGCTACAAGAAGATATGGATTGGGAAGAGGAAAGCAATATTGAGAAAATGCCGAGAAATCACAAGAATCGCACCATCCGCGTTGCAGCAGCCGACGAGGCGAGGGATGAGACCCGAGAATCAGAACAAACCGTGGATCATGACTTTAACAACAAATTGAACATTATCAAAGCAGAAATTCAGACGGTATTCAACAAACTTCATGTCACGAATGTGCCAACACGCGGGACCCCGGGGCGCGGGACGCCCCGAGCCAATCATTTAAAACGAGCCAATCACAGGGTGCTCTTCGTTGTACCCGAGAGCCAAAGGAGAGCGACCAGTCAGAAGCCGCTCTCAAGGGCTCTCGAGAGCCACCGAGAGCATGAGCTCTAGCGAGCTCTCGAGAGCTGTCTAGAGCCTCAGAGAGCCACAGGATGTAGTCAGTATATAGTCACTCGTTCTGGAGAGCTCTGGGAGTTCTCCAGTTAGCAATCACAACTACAGTTCGCTACAAGCTCGGAAGCCTACTGTTGAGACAAGTCTTTGTTGTGCACCTTTTGGCTGCACCGAACCTAAGCACCCTTGAGAGATTACCTTCAACCGAAGCTGAACCCTAACAGGACAGGGTCCTGAAGTAGGTTCGTCACACTTAAGGACCACATGGCAGAGGAGATCGCCAAAATGACGGCCCAGCTGACTCAAGAGCTGGCACAGGCGCGAGAGGAGCTCACTCAAGCCCGCAGTGAGCTCGAGCACACCAAGATACAGCTACACACCATGACTAGAGCTCAAGAGACCCCATGGGTCGACCGACGTATGCAGACATCGCCCGACGGACCCCTCTGGTCAGCATTCCCACCCCGCCCACCTCCACCAGTCGGCCGGCGACACCAGAACCGGCGTTCTGCACGGTGGACATGTCAAGGGTTCCGGAGGATCATGGCAGTGAAGCTACACCAGTAGCGCTCCGCAAGCTCATTGAGCATGAGATGCGTGCGCCTGGCGACCAACCCAGCTGGCGCTGTGTTGCCGTCACAAGAGATAGAGGAAGCACCAACCGTCTTAGGGTCATCAGTAGGAACGAAGGGGAATTGAAGAAGATCAAAGACATCGTCGAAGCAAAGAAAACGCCGGGTGAGAGAGTCCTTCGAGATCAGCTGTACCCGATCAAAGTCGACAATGTCAACCGTACGGCTGTCCTCGACCGCGAGAGCAAGGTCCTCCCTGGGACTGCGGAAGTCCTGGGCCCAGGAAAACGACGTGCAGATTGCCAAGATAGCTTGGCTGAGTCGAAAGGACACTGCAAAAGCGTATGGATCCATGGTAGTGTATCTCACGAAACTCGGCGACGCCAAGAGGCTCCTCACTGGAGGCTTCTTTTACGCCGGAGGAGAATCAGGATATACGGGGACGTTCGAACGTCAGATGCGGCCGGACCAGTGTTACAACTGCCAGCAGATCGGCCACAAAGCGTTTCAGTGCAGAAACCGTCAAGTGTGCGCCAAGTGTGGCAAGGACGGTCACCACCATCGCAGCTGCAGCGAAGTGGTTGCCAAATGCATCCTATGCGGCGGCCCACATGAATCGTTTAGCAGAAGCTGCCAGAGGCTCTACCCATCTCGTCATGAGTAGAACGCTCCACCTAATCCAGCTTAATGTGAGAAAGCAAGGTGTGGTGCACGAAAGCTTGATGAATGACAAGGACATTCAGAACGCAACAGTCTTGGCCATCCAGGAGCCTCAAGCGCGCAGGATTCATGGCCGACTTTTGACAACTCCCATAGGACATCACAAGTGGATCAAGATGGTTCCCTCGACTTGGAGGGAAGGCAGATGGGCGGTTCGAAGTATGCTTTGGGTGAATAAGGACGTGGAGGCGGAACAGGTACCGATAGGGTCGCCGGACATGACAGCAGCAATCTTAAGGCTCCCCGGTCGGCAAGTCCTGGTAGTATCGGTCTACGTACCAAATCAGGACCCTCAAGCTCTACGGGAGACGTGCGACAATTTACGCAAGACAATCACGGATGCAAGACGAGACGCGGGCACGACGGTAGACGTGGTAATTGCTGTGGGGACTCGGAGACGATGTATCTTTGGAAATACAAGGAGAGGCAGATCGTATCATCGACCTGATGAACGAGTTCACCCTTCGCAGTCTGCTCCGACGGGGCACAAAGACCTGGCATGTCGGGGATTACGACACGACCATCGACCTGGTCCTGGCGTCTGCCGAGCTGGCGGAAACAACAGTCAAGTGTGTGATTCACAGGACGGAACACGGATCGGATCACCGCGCGATTGAGACGGTCTTTGACACCTTGGTCCCAGTACCAAAAAAAACAAGACCGGCTTCTGCTCAAAAATGCACCTTGGAAGGAAATCAAGACCAAGATTGCGAGGGCACTAGACGCCACCCCTTCGGGAGGCGCTGTACAGCAGCAGACAGACCGACTAATGTCGGCGGTCTTGGAGACGGTCCAAACCCTGACACCGAAAGCGAAACCATCGCCATACGCCAAGCGGTGGTGGACAACCGACCTTACACAACTGCGTCGCATTTACACGTACTGGAGGAATCGTGCTCGGCCCGAACGACGAGCCGGACGACCCTTGGTGGACTTGGAGGAAATGGCGAAAGCGGCTGCGAAACAGTACCACGACGCTATCCGGCAACAGAAGAAAAAGCACTGGGACGACTTTCTTGAAGACAATAGCAATATCTGGAAGGCTGCCAAATACCTAAAGTCTAGCGACGACACGGCGTTCGGGAAGGTGCCACAGCTCGTCAGAGCAGACGGAACAACCACGGCCGACCACAGAGAACAGGAAGAAGAACTCCTGACCACCTTCTTTCCTCCCCTTCCAGAGAGGATGAAGGTGCTAGACCGCAGCGAGCTCCCGTAGCAATGCCGCCGGTCACCATGGAAGAGGTAGAGCGACAACTATTCGCAACCAAATCCTGGAAAGCACCTGGGGAGGACGGCTTACCGGCGATAGTCTGGAAACAGACTTGGCCAGTGGTCAAGCACCGTGTTCTCGCACTATTTCGAGCATCTCTGGAGCACAGCACACTGCCCAGTCAATGGCGACACGCCAAGATCATACCGCTCAAGAAGCCCGGCAAGGATGACTACAGTGTTGCCAAAGCCTGGAGACCGATCTCACTTTTAGCAACGCTCGGCAAGCTGCTGGAGTCAGTCGTCGCCGAAAGGATCTCACATGCGGTTGAGACATATGGGCTCCTCCCGACCAACCACTTCGGAGCGCGCAAGCAACGATCGGCGGAGCAAGCCCTCATACTCCTCCAGGAACAGATTTACACCGCCTGGAGAGGTCGAAAGGTAGCAAGCCTGATCAGCTTTGACGTGAAAGGGGCCTACAACGGGGTCTGCAAGGAAAGACTTCTTCAGCGGATGAAGGCACGAGGCATCCCAGATGAGCTGCTTCAATGGACAAACGCCTTCTGCTCGGAGCGCACAGCCACAATTCAAGTCAATGGATATACATCCGAGGTTCAAAGCCTACCTCAAGCTGGTCTACCTCAAGGCTCTCCTTTATCCCCGATCTTATTCCTCTTCAACGCGGACCTAGTACAACGACGAATCGACAGTCGTGGTGGTGCGATAGCCTTCATGGATGACTTTACAGCGTGGATCACGGGACCGACGGCGCAAAGTAACCGGGAAGGCATTGAAGCCATCATCAGGGACGCCCTAGACTGGGAGACAAGGAGCGGTGCGACCTTCAACGTACAGAAGATAGCAATCATACACTTCACTCGCGTAATCCATAAGACCGACGCGCAACCATTCACGATCAAGGGGCAGATTGTCGAGCCTCAGGACCATGTCAAGATCCTTGGCGTGCTCATGGACACAAAACTAAAGTATAAAAAACACATTTGGAGGGCTGCGTCCAAAGGTTTGAAAGCAGCTATGGAACTAAAACACCTCCGAGGTCTGTCCCCATCAACGGCGCGGCAGCTGTTTCCATGCACAGTTGCCCCGGTGGTGGACTACGCCTCCAATGTGTGGATGCACGCATGCAAGAATAAACTCGCAGGACCCATCAACAGAATTCAGAGAATGGCGGCGCAAACTATGGTGGGGACCTTCCTCACAGTGGCAACGAGCGTAGCGGAAGCGGAAGCTCATATTGCCAGCGCACAAGATCGGTTCTGGTCCAAAACTTCTGGAGACGGGCCATCAAACTATGGACCGATATTCACACCCTGCCATACACCAACCCATTACGCAGAAACACGTCTCGAATGCGAAAATTTAGGAAAATATACCGCTCGCCACTCTACCAGGTCGCAGACGCACTTGGAGACATCGCAATGGACGAGCTGGAAACCATCGACCCATTCACCATTGACGCCCTGGGAGAGCCGTGCACAAACTGTCACCAACAAACTGACGACAACACACCGGAATGCCGACTACGATATACGCATTGCCGTAAGCAGCTCGGCGCGAAACGACCTAGTGGGAATTGGCGGAGCTACGACGATGCCGGCGTCTGTATACGGCAGCCCAAATGTTGGAACATTCTCCTCTACGCTTGGTCCGAGATCAGAACAGAACCCATACTCCGGGGAGCTTGCAGCCATTGAACGAGCGTTGGGCACACTGCCAACGTTTAGATCTAGCCGCATCGAGCTCTCAACGCGCAACAAAGCGGCCGTTCTCACGATCCGGCACGCCCGACGACAGTCTGGGCAACGGCACATCTGCCGTATCTACCAATCAATCAGAGCACTGCGCAGGAACGGAAACACAGTAAGTATCAATCCGATGGCTCCCTACGACAGAAGAAAACAAGCTTTGGGAAATCGCCAAGAAGAACGCCAAACATGCCACTCAACAGGGCGCCGTTCCGGAAGTACAGACACTCAGAGAAGCAATATTTCCTTCTATCTGGGAGGGAAATCGCCGTTGGACAAGAACGACTGGACTCCTAACATGGCAGCTGTTCGCGCAACCATACGTTTTGCAATGGCGACGGGCCGACTCGACACGAACGGACCACAGGCCGACTAAACCACCTAACCCACCACACCCGATAGCACCGATACCCTCACCTCGTGACGCAAATAACAGGCATCGCTTCAGCCGCCGAAGATAGGACGTTGAACACTTGGAGAATCGCCTTCAAGCCAGCCTACTAACAACCCTACTCACCCACGAGAATCCGCAGAGAAATGGAAATCAGAACAGACTGTATGAACTAGAATGAACTTTACGGGCTTCAAGGAGACCAGGACATATCTTGGGAAATGTATAGTCAGACTGTAATAGCTGCCCTCTCGGTTGACCCGCCGGGCGTTAATAAAACTACCTACCTACCATTCGCTTTTTAACTCCCTATATGATGATAACACGGCGTGTATCCAGTCCCCTACTGCGCCCTAACCCGCGTCTCGCACAGCTGCAGATCGCCAAAAGCCCCCTTCATCTCAGGCACCTCCATCACCCGCTTCACATACGCCTCCACACCCGGCACGTCCTTCCGCATCTCCCTATCCATCAAGAACCTACCCGCCACCTGCAACACACCCACCACCATGATATCCGCCAACGTCAGCTGGCCACCCACCAAAAACTGCCTCCCGTCCTTCAGCTCCGCCTCCACCCGGCCCAGGGCACGCTCAAGCGCAGCCAGGAGCTGGTTGCAGCGCTTCTCGTCATAGGGGTACTGCTCGAGCTTAGCAACGAGCATGAGCACGGGCGGAACGGCGTTGGCGGCGAGCTCCTGCTCGGCGAAGCACGACCACTGCTCGATCAGCGCGCGCGTCTTGACGTCCTCGCCCAGCAGCTGGCCCGCCTTGGGCCCGCTCTCGGCCACGAACCGCGCGATGGCCTGCCCCTCCGTCAGGTGGAAGCTGCCGTCGCCCGTCTCGAAGGCGGGCACCTTGCCGAGGGGGAACTTGGCGAGGAATTCGGGGGTGCGGTTGGTCACGTCCATTTGGAAATCGGGGGCGATTTCCAAGGTCAGGCCGTTGATGGCGGCGATGGCTTGGGCCTGGGGAGGAGGGTGAGTATAGGTAGGGAAGTGGGGAGTTGGTGGGATAGAAGGGAAAGGGGGGGTGGAGAACTTACCCGCTGGACGCGGTAGTTGTCAGGGTAAGTGTAGAACCTGCCGAAAGGAGCCATGGTGACGGGTGAATGTGGGTTTAGTTGATTGAGAGGTGGGAAGAGAGTTGCGGGCTGGATTGCGTGCTCTTAAGAGGCAATGACAACAGCAGATGGTGTTGAGGCGACTTGAATACACCAAGTAGAAGGGCATAGAACCGGGTGGCAACCTCCCCCCCTTTTAAGTCATGGTGCCCCCCTCAGGACTTGTCCCCCAACGCTACTACCAACCAGACCACTTGGCAACCTCACCACCTCTCATCGGCAAGCTCCATCCCACCCACGGAAAATCTGATCGAACCCAGACTCCACCCAGTGCCACGGAACAGTCGTCACTCGTGCGTAGCTCGGCACTCACGGCGAGTTGCAGTGCACAAACCGCCCTGATTCATGACCAATCCCATGTTTCACAAGCTGCCCTTAGCCGCGAAACACTTTGTGTGTGTGTGTGTATTGTATCTCCGCTCCTCAAGCTCTCCACTAGTGGCGGGAAGGTCTCACGGCTCCAGTGGGGAGAAATAAATTGCCGTCGGTGTGGACCATGAGCGACACCATGCTTGGTAACAACGGGGCAAACAGTGAGCCGCCTGACAAATCAAGAACCCGCAACACACACCCACCATGGCGGTGAGGAAAAAAGCAGAGCCGCACAACGCGCCAAAAGTGGCCCCGGAAAAAAAAAGGTAAAAAAATTGCAAAAGTAGAACCGGACACGTTCTGGTGCTCCTAATCTTGCATTGGACGAGCTGGGAATCGAACCCAGGACCTTTCGCATACAGTGAAGCATGCTAAGCGAACGCTCTACCAACTGAGCCACACGCCCTTGATGATGTTGTTGAGATTCGAGCTCCGGGGGGACGCGTCTTGACGCGCCGCCGCCGTGCTCGGCTAGGGGCCCAACTGGCAGGAGACCAGCAGTGTTAGCAATACACACACACAACAACGTCCACCCATTACCAGAACCGTATTTACACATCTCCCCCCCCCCCCACCAATATACCAATTACTCATCCCCATTACCCCCCAAAGCCTAAAGGGCCCAAACTACCACGGCCCCTCCTCCCTCTCTTTATCCCCACAAACCGGACACCTACCAGCAACCCGATTCCT